GTTCAGGCTCTGTAAGTATCTTACAGTCAACCCATCTCTCCTTTTCTCTCTGTAGGATCTGATACGAAGAGACATTCTGTATTATAAAGGTCGCATAGACATGGATAAATATGAAGTAGTGGATACAGAAGACGGGAGAGATGATGACTTCAATGTCAGCATGAAGAATGCCTTCAAACTTCATAACAAGGAGACTGAGGAAATGCACTTATTCTTTGCCAAGAAACTGGAAGAGAAGTTACGATGGCTTAGAGCTTTCAGAGAAGAAAGGAAGATGGTAAAAGAAGATGAAAAGATAGGTGAGGAATATGAAATGAAACTGAAAGGCGATTGTTGGTAATGCTTAATTTAGCCCCAACGGTTGGAGAAGCCCACTTTTTTTTTGTAGTAGAATTACAGTTCAGCCTTGTTCAAAGGTGCTTGGTTGTTCTCATAGTCATAAATAGGTCTCTTTCCAATTCGGTTACTGTTATTTTTGGCCCTCAATAAACAAATTCTGCCCATAGCTTCAAGCCTGGACCTCCGTGGGTATTGCAGGAGAAGGAAATCTTTGGCCATCTGACTTCAGAGTCTCCTGGCTGCATCATTTCTGCGCTGGCTAAGCACGTCTCATGCAGGGTAGGAGGGCGGCGAAGTCGATGACTTACCAGCCGTGCCCTTCCCTCAGCATCAGCCCATAAATTGACTGTAAGCAATGTCAGTTCAGGCTCAGTTTGTGTTGCTCAGCTGTAAAGCACTGGGCGTATTTATGATACTGTGTAAATAATCATGGGTCTAATCTTACTTTTCATACAGCCCATGCACAAGTGAGATTATAAAGGCCTGTCCTTTCAAGGAAGATTTGCTTCTCAGTAAAATACCTGCCCGTACACACAGCTCACTGGGTGATGCTTTGCCACCTAGGGCGTTCTGTGTTTGCCAAACAGTGCAGAACATTCCCCCCCTCCCCAAAAGAAAAAGAGGCTTTGTAAGCAATCTTCTGAATTGTGTTTGCCGTGTTCCCTTTTTCAGGCTTTGAAATTTCTGAAAATCAAAAGCGGCAAGCGGCAATGACTGTAAAGAAAGTCAGTAAGCAAAAAGGTAACCGGCAACATGCACTGTGCCTGGTAATGTGAGGGTGGAGCGGGCTGGGCTGAATCCTGCTGGGTTAGGATCCAGCGTCCCCCTTGAATTTCCCCCTCCCCTTTCTCTTTTTTTATAAAATACCGTTTGTGCTTTGTATCCTTTCTTAATGTATCTGTGGGTCAAATTAATCTCTGGTCTAATGTGGTTGAAGCCAGTGTAATTTCAGCAGAGATTAATTTGATCTCATGTCTCCAGTCTGATGTCCAGAAGCTGTCCATGGGGGCAGAAATCTGTCTCTCAGTTGTTTCTCTCAGGCTGAAATGGGAGTGACTGCGGAGATGTGTAGGGGTTCTGCTAATTCCCAAAGTCTCCCATTAGCAAAGAAAGATGGGTAAAATACTGGAGATGGTGAGGGTTCTGCCCCTCTCCTGCTTTGGGAAAGGGGACATTCATGTTTCCTGGGGCGACCTGTAACTTTTTAAGGACAGCACAGTAGCATCAGCTCTAGGAAATACAGTATCTTAGTAAAGACTTTATATCTCTCTAACATCAGATTCATTTCCCCACCCAGGCAGGCTACAGCCAACTAATAAATGCCATGCTGGATATTATACAAGAGTCTCAACTGGCAAAACAGCCAGCATTAATTATCTCTCGCAGTAGCTCTTGCAGCTACAGGTTTTGAAATACTAAATACGGAGGGAAAGTCAGAGAGGTCATTTTTCAGGTTTTCCAAAGCTTCACAAAGTCATAGACGTATCGATTCGTCACCAAGTACCATGGCACAACTAGACCTATAAATGGGTTTTAAGAGGACTCATCACTTCTTGGCTATAGTCAGTTCCAGGCAGATTCATCTCCACTCTGTGCAGGCTTTGGGTTGTTTTTCGCAAAAGTTGAAGGAGCTCTTTGCTTTCTGCCTCACCTGTTTGTTGTCTACCGGCTTTGCTGGTCCAGTAGTGGTTTGCTAGGCCAACTGTAAACTCCTTGGTTTGCTGTGTCTTTCCATTGTCATTAGTCTTCTCCTTTCTACTAACTTCCTATGTTGTCTTCTAAGATGTTCTCTAAAAACTCTCCTGGCCAGATTTTCTAAGCTCAGAGTATGCACACACCCAAAAACAGGCCCAGGGACAGGTATCGTACCCAATGTACATGTAGTTCAGGCAGTAGCGGACGCTGTCATGAGTTCGGTTTTGCAGAGCTGCCTCTCACCACTTGCATGCTTGTCCCTCAGCACGGCAGGAACCACGGAGATGGTGGCAACTGGAAAATTAGAGAATCTGACTTGCATGATGGCTATGGCAAAAACAGTTTAAATTATTACTTGCTCTTTAGTTAATTATATTATTAATTAATTAAGGTATTAATTAATAATTGTACTGTTCAGTCATTAAGTGACACAGTTCAAAGGTGCCTGAGCATGCCTACCAGTATTCCCACTTAAATCACTGGACTCGCATCCTGACAAATACAATATGCCTGACTGTACTTATGTCTTACACAGCAGTTGCTCTCTTGTTTCCTCTCTTTCTCTTTCTCTCTCTTTCTCTCTGAGATGAAAAAGGAGGGGCTATTATCTTAGACTTCTCTGACTATGAAATTAATTAGCTCCTGAAACACCAGTCAGCATTTCTTTTATGAAGAACGAGCTTATGCTGTAACACTGGCAGTTCTTTTTATGAGATGAAGTCCTCGAGTCAGACAGAAATTCAGTCAGACCCCAAGCACCAAGTTTAGTGAAGCCTGGTTGTTTTAAGACATGACATTTGAAAAACAACAAATAGGGTCATTAAATTAGTAGCTCTGGGTTTTTTTGTCCTACATTGTGGTAATCATAGCCCAGTCCCAGATTAATTAAATTAAGTACCGGCACCGAACATTTTGCTGAAAACTCTCAAGTTTTCTTACTCTCTGGTTTGTCTTGTGCCCAGGACGCAAAGGGAGGCAGGAGGCTGCCGGAGCACGGCGCCGGCGGCATTGCTCAGAAGAGGGAGGTAGGAGGAAATTCCTGAGAGCTGGCTTTCAGCAACTGATTTTTTGAATCTTGCCATACACATTTTACCTATATTGCCAACAATGTTTTGCCAAAGACCTTGGCAGGCACTTGGGGCTGTGTTGCCGAGGCTGAGGTGCAGCCCTCGGGGCCGGGAACAGGCAGACGGCTGTGCCTATGCCAGGAGGCTGCTGCCTGCCTTTGCCCTCCCCGTGCAGCCTCCCACAGCGCGACAGTAGCATTGGAAGGGGCATTAAGTTGGGTTTGGAGCATCAATTATACCTGGGAATCAGTGAAGCCCTTTAGGAGTAGGAATACTTCCACTGCATTCCATGAAACGATTTACTCATTTAAATTTACAGACATTGCAGGAGAGGTCTCAGTGGCTACGGCAGGGCTTGATGGCTCAACAGCTTGACCCGACATGTCGAGAGCCCTGCTCCCGTGTCAGCGGATGCCTATCACAGACTTGTTTCTAGATTATCTCAGTTGTTCCCTCCACCTCTTAAATGGGAAACCATGGTAATTTCCCTGTCACACAATACTTAAGGAAGAGAGAAAAGCCGTGAAGGAGGTGAAATGGAAAATGCAATCAACTTTTTTAGAGGTGAAGCAGAAAAACATTTTTCAAATAGTGTACGCTGCCGCTTATTTCATGCACTGTTGTACCACGCCTCCCAGAAGCATTACTCTGGAGCTGGCTGGTGTGCGTTTGAAAAGGAAGCATTTAAACTGCCGCTCGCTGCAGCAGGCGAGGCAGAGAGGCCGAGAGATCAGCTGATAGCAGGAGAAGAAACCTTAAAACTCTGCTTTTTAAACTAATGGAAACTTTATCCAGGTGATTGAGAGAGAACACAACTATCAGTGTTTTGAGAAGTTCTTGATCCCAAAATGAGGGTCCTCTGTCAGGCACAAGTCAGCCCCCTCTGGAAACAACCCCCCTCCTAACGCTCGCGTCTGCACAGAAACGGGTGGGCACATGTGGTGCCGGGCTTCTCTCCAAATCAACTGAATGGTGCGCAAGGTCCGATTTCAGCAGTGTACTGGGCTTTGCAGTACTGACTGGATTGGGCAAAGCATAATGATTTTAGACCAGGTGCCTTAAGACAGCATTAAACCAATCTTTGGCCTTCTTTAAGTCCATTAGACATAAAGTAAATGGGTAGTGTTGGCACTGCACCTTACCAGCAGATAGAGAAAAGGGCTGTTTGTTGTTGGTTTTTTTCTTTTTGCATTTATTGTTCAAAATTTTGCCTCTTGGTTACTGCCCTTTAGCTTCTTTCAATGTCAGTGTGGTAACTGGGAATAGAATTCAGTGTGGTGACTCCTAGAAATAGTAAAGTAACAGAGAAATGTATTTGTCTCGACTTACAAAAACAACAAAAAACCCCATAACCCTTTTTAAGCTCAGCCAATCAAGTGTGCAACTTTTCTGCAGGTAAGTCCAGGTACCACGGAAGACCTTTGCTGCCTGCACTGACACTGCAACATTAAGATAGCGTTAGAGTTGCACTTCTAGAATTGTGCTTGTTACTGACTAAAGCAGTGGAAACAAGTCTAAAGTTTCCTTGAAAATGGATCCCTTGTGGATCTCCAGTCCATCCTTAACGTAGACCCAGGATTAGCCAGGGTACTTTTTCCATTTCTAAGTGTCTGAAAACAGAAGGCTTCTTTAGTGCCTCTATCTGTCAACGGCTTGTGTTCTGCTGGCCACTTTTAATCTCCCCTCCAATGAGTAGCGTTTGCAGCTTTCAGGAACATTCAGTTGCTGTTCTGGTCCCCAGCTTTGCCCACGTCTGTCCCCATGCAGGACAGCGTGTACACAAAAGGGATTTTTGCCCATGTTCTAGAAGCTGTCAGCCAGGGGTGCCGGCGGGATTAGAGGTTCCAGTGCCCAGGAAGGAGAGCCCATTCTTAAAGCGCTGTTTCCCACTGATGTTTCCATTTTGGAAAATGAAATGTCTGTTCAAATTTAAAGTGACCTTAGTGCTACACGGGAGTGTTTCCCACCCAGGAGAGCTCTTCACACCCATGCTATGAGCCAGCTCCTTCCTGCCCTTCTCTCTGTCCTGTGTATTCTCCTCTGCAGCGTGCCACAGCTTCACCAAAGCAGATGCCCTCAGCCCAGACGAGTCTTTAGGCTGGTGGTGTGGGACTTGCAGAAGCATATAGTCAGTCACCATCACCCCTAGCCCTGAGCTCGGAAGGATGCTGTTATCAAATCTGCCCATAAATACTCAGTTATGCAAAGCCAGCAGGGGTTAAATCATCAGCCAGCGTGCACTGCTTTGGCCTGCAGTCAAACACCCTCTGAATCACTGAATTTTTCTGCTAGTTTCTTCCTTTCTGGTCACTTGAGCTCATGGCAAACTATGTCATAAAAAGCCTGACCCAAACACCCGACAGCTTCTCCCTGACTTCTCACACTTCCGCACTTCAAGCTTTCCCCCAGCAAGGCTGCACAGCGAACCGACACGGCTGCATGTTAGCGTACTTGTGCTGGCTTCATCCAGCTGGCGAGGACAGGTCTTACCAGGTAACAGAGCCTGTAGGTTCCTCCTGTCATTCTCCTGAGTGTTTAAACCTATTTTATTGCATCTTCATTGCTAACAAGATTGACGTGGCCCTGACATGTTTCCCCATCCTATTCACACATGTAGGCATAGCCCCAGGAGGACTGAGGGAGGCTGGGCAACACATAGACTGAAACAGGGCATTTGCATTTTCAGGTAATCAGGATCACTTCCCTTTTTTCACAGAGCTTCCCACAGTATAGGTGAAAGAATGGAGCTAATCATGTTCTCGGTGGTATTTCCCCACAGATTCAGAGGAATCACAGAGCTTATCCCATTGCTTGTAAAATACAGACCCTACCCAAAACACAGGCATTATGCAGTGCCCATCTGTGGCTCGCCCAAGCACTTCATGCTTTGGGTCCACAAGCACTAGTCTCCCTGATGACGGTCCAGATAGATGGCTTCTCACTCAAGGCATTAGTAACTCAGCTGGAGACACTAGGATC